AAGCCCTCTCATTCCTGTTGGACTAACTGGTAGCATGGGTCTGAGCTCTGGGGCCTCCACCTCAGAGGGCAGTCCGATCTCCAGTGGTCTCCTTTGCATCCAGGGCATGGCCCATGGGGCCTCTTAGGGCAGTTCTTTAGTCTTTTTAAAATAAATATTCTCGGGCCAGGGATATAGCTCAGTGGCACAAGCACCTACCTGGCAAACACAAGGTCCTGAGTTCGATTCCTGGTACCAAAAAATAAAAATAAAGGTAAAAGTAAATATCTTTTTTTTTTTTTTTTTTTGGGTTTTTCTCCGGTACCGGGAACTGAACTCATGACCTTGCGTTTGCCAGGCAGGCGCTTTTGCCGCTGAGCTAAATCTCCAGCCCAGTAAATATCATTCTCAATGGGCTTTTACCCACCTGCATTTAAATTCCGTATCTGTGCCAACAGCTCCTAGATTGTCCCTCCGGCTCAGCCCTGCCCTCCCTTCAGGTCCTAGTGCCCACCCGCTCCATAGCCTGGTTTTGATGTCCAATAGGCACCTTGCATTCAAGGTGCCCAAAACCTCCCAAAGCGTTTGTCTCAATAAATGGCAGCTGCCCTGGTTCGCACCACTCCAGCCACACCGGTTTCCTTGTGCCTTGAATTTGCTGAGCATTTATCTTCTTCAAGAGCTTTGTATTAATTTTCCTGCTGCCTAGAAAACTTTCTTCCGTAGCTGTTGTGTGGCGCGTAACGACATTTCAGCTAACCGCAGACTGCATATCTGACGGTGGTGTCTTAGAGTGAGTGCGATGCCGTGGCCATCTGAGGCTGTGTAAGTGCACGCTCTGATGGTCGCACGACCAAGTCACCTTGCCTTGTATGTCCCCTTTGCTAAGTGATTCATGACTGTGTTCCTTATTCTCTTACTCCTTCGGGTCTTTGCTTAGTTTCTTCTTATCACCAAAAGCTTCTTAGATCACAACTGAAATTGCAATCCCCCCCCACCCCCCCACCCCCGTCACTCTTGTCCACTTCTCTGCTTTATTTTTCTCCACAGGCCTCAGCACCACCCGACAAACTTTTTATATGCAGCAGTTTGTTTTTACTGCTCATTCCCTGCCCTTTACGTATGAATTCCCCAGGAGCAGTGATGGAAATTGGGGTGATGGAAATTATGTGACCAAACTACTGTATAAATATAATTTGCCTTGTCTGTGAGATGCATATGAAGATTTGAGCAGTTCTCGAAGTAGTAATAAATGCATTTTTAAATTTATCTTAAAACTTCAGGCGTGAGTTGGTAAAGCATCTTGGGAATCATGAATAGTTGTCCTGGCTCTGTTTTTAATTAAGCATCCTGAGTTTCTTATGGACAGAGTAAATTTACCTTTGACTTTTTCTTTCAGGTGCTATAGAACTAGATAGAGCCGTCAGATCTGTAAAATTTCCGGGACAGTGTAATGATGCAAAGTAGCGCGCTAGTGTAGGTGGCAGCGACTACAGGGTGAAGCGCATACTGATGCCCAGGTTTCTGCGTTTTCTGACCCAGCGGCGTATTGAACATACACCCGAGCTGCCTCCCGAGGTGGCGGGGCCCGGCTCCCATCATCCACACGGTGCTCCATGGAGATCCCGTTGCCGGAGTAACAATCATGCAAATCAGACCGAAGAGGTAGAGCATATTTTCTTTTTTTTGAGATTTTTGAAAATGTTGATATCAGTTTGTTTGGGGTACATGTGGGGAAATGCGTAAAGGGACAGTACTCACTAATCTCTGTCACTTGGGAGCAGTTCCTTTTCATTTATTTATTTATTCATTGTACTGGGGATTGAATCTAGGGTCCCTAGACTAAACTATATCCATATTCCTTTGTAAAAATTCTTTTGTTTTTTTGAGACAGAGTCTTGCTGAATTGCCCAGGCTGGGATCAAACTTGGAGTCCTCCTGCCTCAGCCTTCTGGAGTGCTGAGATTATAGGCGTGTGCCATCCTGCCACCTTCCTTTGTTTTGATATAACTTTTTTGTTTGTTTGTTTGTTTTTGCCCCCCCCCACTGCCCCATACCGGGAATCAAACTCAGGACCTCGCACTTGCCAGGCAGGCACTGTGCCGCTGAGCTAAATCCCCAGCCCTGATATGACTTTGTTTTGATCTCTAACCTAAGCCATGTGTCTCTTGGTGTATATGAGATGTCTCTTTAAAGTTCTTATGAACTTCCTAATTTGTCAGTTGCAATAAATTATATTAATAACAGCTGTATTTTTATAAAAGACATTGTGTAAATAATAGATTTTTAATTTTTTTTTTTTGTCTTTTTTGAGATAGGGTCTTGCTATGCAGTTCAGGCTGGCCTTGAGCTCACTTTGTAGCCCAGGCTGGCCTCAAACTCACAACCATCCTCCTGCCTCAGCCTCCCGAGTGCTGGGATTACGGGCATGCACCATAGATGGATTTTTATGTATTCATTATTTTGAATTTCAGTTCTGTTAACCCTGGTTTATAGTTAAAAAAATTTTGGAGCCTAAAGTAAGAATATACTATTGTGTATAATGTGTAATATAATTGTCCTAAACATTGCTACTTTTTTCCTCTATACTCTAGAAAAAATTACTTACAGTTATTTGAGAAGTTTGTCTTAGTTACTTTTCTTGTTGCTGAGACAAAATACCCAACACCCAAAGTGAAAGGAAAGAAGGTTTATTTAGCTCACTGTTTGTAGAGGTTTCCATCCATAGAGGGCTGCTCCAAGGCAGGGTGGCCTCGCAGAGGAGAAGCAGTTCACGGCAGAGCAGGCAGAAGGCAGCACAGCAGTGAAGTAGCCAAGCAGCTTCTTTCCGTCCCTTCATATTCCATGCAATTTACCTGCCCCTTGGGTGGTGCCACCCACACCCAGGGTGGGGCACCCTTAATCCTACAGTTTAATCCCAGCATCAACACTTTAGATCCAGCCACCTCCCAGTACTCACACCTATGATCACATGAGGCTTTGGTGGGACATCTAGATATAAGCCACTGCAGAGTTAATATTTATTAAGTTTCTGCCTGTTTCCCCATAGAAGCGAATAATTTATGAGTTCACATGAGCAACACACTTTCTGGAATTTACTTAGGAAAAGGTGGGGGCAGTTCAAGCACAGTGGCACGTGCCGATAATCCCAGCTGTTTAGGAGGCTGAGGCAGGACATTTACAAATTGGAGCCCAGATGGGGCAATTTAGTGAGATCCTGCCTCAAAATAAAAGTAAAAAGGAGGCCAGGGATATAGCTCAGTGGCATAAGCACCTGCCTGGCAAGCACCAAGTCCAGAGTTTGATTCCCGGTACCAAAAAAAAAAAAAAAAA